TTTTGGTGTACAAAAGCGTGTAAAATATTGGGTAAAGGTGCGATATCCTGATTTTTTGTACATGATATAATTAGTATCCTGATCTTATTTTCTTAATATATTCAACATCTCAAATGCCGAATTTAAAAAAATAAAATAAAATCAGAGTGTTGAATGTACCTTATAAAAGATGAGAATACTAAATATACGTCTAAACTAAAATGCTTTTAAGTAGTAAAATTACTAAACAGAAGCTCGTGAGTAATTTTTCCTATGTAGCTAGAGTTATGTTTGAATTACAAATAGACCATATTATTCTTGCACCACTCTCCGTCATATTCGCCCATCACTAAATGGAATATTGTCCATCAAAGTATCACTTGAAAAGAGTGTTTGGTTAAAAATCAAAACGTAATTTTAAAAATAATTATACGGTATATAAAATAAATATATAAAAAGAATTATATCTCAATTTAAATAAAAATATTTTTTAAAAAGTCCTTTCATCACAAACCTAACACCCTCAAAACCATATTGTTATGAGTAGTTCAAATTTTGAATAAGAATAAAGAAAACACTTAATAAAATTATCAAGTACGATTTTTTGATCAACAATTTATTTAAAAATTTAGTTTTTGATAGAGCTCAATGGTATTGTATAATCCGTTTAACTAAGCTCATCTAATAGGATAAGTAACTGTATTTTAAGTCTCTTTCTCTCTCTAGACACACACGTAATATCTTGTTTTAGACGCTTCTCGAGATGAAGTGTGGAGGAGGATGATGTGAGGCATCTTCAACCAATTTCAAATGGTGGAGGAGCCATTATTATTATTATTACATTATTGACGTTCAAGTGGCATATAAGGAAAGTTGTTCATATGAATGATGTCAACAAACGGCGGCGCCTTTAATAATTACAAAGAAATATAACTGGTACCTTATAAACTTTTTTCTCACAGTTTATTAAATTAATGAATTACATAGGGATTGAATTGTTTCTGGGCAAAAAGATTTTTAAGAATTGATTTATTTTAGATAAAAAAATTTTAGGAATTCATGAGTTTATTTTAGTAAAATTTAGTAACTGATGAGTAATCAATAATTAAAATATGTTTAAAGACAAAAGTTATATTTTTCCTTCGTATTTTATAAGAATATATATAATTTAATTTTGTTGCTAATAATGGTTTGGTTGATAAGTACTCATCTGATTCTTAATATAGGATCTAATTGTGGAGTTGATTTTGGTCCTAAATATAATATATATTTCTTATATCTATAATTTTTTTTTCAAATTACTCCTATTACACTCCCCCAACCATAATCAAGTATGAGAGGGAGGGAGGATATGATGAAAATGATTAAAGTATTTTAAGAAAAACATGTCATATGTATTATACTTAACTAACTTACCTAACTTTCTTAATCTAACCAAATTAATTAAATAAGTCTTATATTAAGGACAAGAGGAGTATATATGTAACTCGTACAGTTGTTGCTAATTAAAAATATATTACCTTTTAAAATCGAGACAAACTCCTCCATATATTTATTTTGTAGGCTGTAAAATTATTTCTAAAATCATAGTTTAGTTTCCATCCAAACACCCCATGTGCTTCTTTTCATTGATAATATAGGGCTCTACTAAGAAAATGACTTGATTCAAAATATAAGTCATTTTGTATTTTTTGCTTTCATTTATAACCTCATTTAATATGAATAAAGTTAAAAAAAATATTTCAACTTAAGATAGATTTAAGGAGTATTAATTAATCTTTCTTAATTTTGAAAATTTTGTTAAAATGACTAATATTGTAAATTGGATGTACAAATTAAATCAAATACTTAGTGAACCTAACAAATACCGGCAATGCACGACAATTCTCGCCTCCTCCAAGTGCCCTGACCGAACTACTCATCGTCATCATCATTAAATAAATCTCATATAATCAATTCTCAAACACAAACATTAGTCCACGCACATGTTCTCTTTCACAACACGCACATTATATATTATACATGTACTATATATATCAAACGAATCCGTGCGGGGCAAAAAGAAGAAACCAATCGAATCTGCATATAATAATATACTTATTCGTTTACATAAAGTCCAGTTCACCCTAATGATAATTTTCTTTGAGAAATACTTACATACTTTTGGAATACCAAAATGTTCTGAGTGTCTTTTCTCGTGGATCTCATATCCCACAAATTTTCTTTATTATATTTTTCTCTCCATAATCCGCTAAGATGGGAATTCGTGAGATTCACCCCAAAAAAAAAAAAAACAATTGGATTGTTTTGGTTAAAGAGAGCATGAATGATATAACACTCTAGCATGCAAGCAAATGTGAGATACTCCTCCGGTCCTTAATATAGGACCCAATTCTTGAGTTTGTTTTGATAATAAATATAAGATCCATTTCTCATATTTATCAATTTTATCTAAATTACCCCCATGGGTACTCCCTTAACCATAATTAAGTAGAAGAGGGAGATGGAATATTAAGAAAGATGATTATGGTGTTTTAGGAAAAATGTGTCACATTTCTTATAATTAACTAACTTATCTAACTTCCTTAATCTAATCAAATTAGTTAAATGATCATTATATTAAGTACCAGAGGAGTAATAGTTTACACATGCAAAACATATTAATTGGAGAAGATTAAGGTTCTATGCATGGTTTGGAAGTCTAAAAATTAAATAGCTAATTGAATGTAATTAAAATTAAATAGCTAATTGAATGTAATTTCTAAATAGAAAATATATTAGTTGCAAAATTGTGGATTAGCTGCAGAAAATTGTAGTGTTATTTGACTTTTTATTCAGATAATTTCATTAATTCATGGATTTGGCCAAGAGAATTACATATTGGAAAGTTGAAATCTTGCTCAATCTTAAAATTGGAAAATTTTAATGAGATTGATTTTTATAATTCTTAATTGATATTCCATATTATAGAGACAATCAACTTTTGATATGATTGAGTTAATTGAAATTTTGTCAGTTATCTAAAATCAATGAGACCATTTTGCAATCTTGAAAATAAAACATGCCATGAATAGTGTGTACAAAAAGACAAGCAAACAAACACACCCAATGAATAAAATTGATATGGCAATAATAACAAATGTTTTATAAGAATAATCAGCATTTTTTTAGTTCAATAATAAGCAATTCTAATAAATAATAATACGTCTGAATTGTTGATTGTTTCAACCACAAACTTTTTTAAATTTTGTAATTGCAATCATTAGATACGCTTATAATTCTGGCTCAGCAAAGCTTTGCTGTATCTCTGGTACACCCGTGTGGGTGTCTCCCTAATTGTGCTTTGGTCGGTTGTCGTTACTAATTATCACAGCCAGCCTCATCATAAACATAATCATGCTTCTAATTAATGAAACCATTATGAAAAACCCAATCATTTGAGAATTTTTTTGTCCTTTTTCCATTTTTGTAAACATAAATTAATTAGGTCTTATCCTATGGCTTTTATTCTTTCGTGGATCGCAATCAGAGCTCACCATATATTCATAACTTATTTGTTTTGACAGATACTCTCTTAAATTTTATATATAAGACACTTCTATCCAGTCATTATCAAAATATGTAATTAAAAAAAAAATTGTACCATTCAGGTTTTTATTACAAGTCACTGGTCGGACAAATTTTTGATCCTAAATATAAGTTATTTGTAGAGTATTTAATGATACTTTTTAATTTTATTCCTATATAATTCTTTTGGAAAGAGAGAAAGATATGAGAATAATTTATAAATTTAAAATTTTTTCTCAATTTAACGTGGTCTTCAGTATGTGAGAATAAGTTACAAAAAATTTATAATAAAAACGAAGTAATAATTTTAATTTGTATATGTAGTTAGAGTCACCTCAAATCTTGCTTAAACACAAGATTGTGTGTTCGATTTTCTATAAATGCATGAATTCTTTTCATCGGTGAAATATGATAAAATTTTCTACAGACGGAGTCTCACATTAAAAACCCTCATGAGAAAAGAAAGATTATAAGTTCAAAAAGCTCTCTCACTGAATATATGTTAGTGTTTTGAAATAGACTCTTTACTTTTACCCATGGCTAAAAAAAATCAGCATTTAATGATCCGTTTTACATGAAAAATTAAAAAAAAAAAGTACTAATCAGACATGATCATGATTCGTGAAAATAATTTGACATGGTGAATCATATTTTTTTGGTTCAGCGACGTCTTTTCACAGTACATCAACCAAATAGGATAGTGATAACACATCAATATCAAATTTGTAGTGGGCTGAATAAATTCCACGAGCCAGAGATATTTTCAATATTAAATATGAATATTAATTACTATATGCTCAACCACGCAACCTAATTAATATTATTATATCAATTACATTATTTAATTTTTAAAATTCTGGTAACAATTATGTAAATACAATAATTATTTAAAATAAATCAAGATTAATCAGCTGATTTAATGCAAAATATCAATAATTTAGAAATTCGGTATTTACAACTGGATTCTAATTGATAACCTTTTTAACAATTAGTTTATTGGCCCTAGACATTTTGCAGGTCAATTATCATTATCAATGGATAAATTTGTCCCTGCCATAAAGCGACATACGGTTTCCCTCTTTTTCCACATGCAGCCCGTTTTTATTTGCCATCTCAATCAACAAATAATACTCTATTTTGAAACCAAAGGAGTATTTGGTAAAAAATCAACCTGCAAAATAAATATTTAATGTCTAATTTCTATCTCTGCTTTTCAGGATTTTAGCAATTATTCTCATTAAAAATAGTTTGAGATATAATTAATAATCATCAACCTTAATACAGTGAAAATATTCCTCGAAATTTTGAATATAAAGTCTTGTGTTTCCAGAAATGCCACGTGTCGGAAGATGAACGGAATCTGAGGATCAGCCGTCGGATCTGACAGGAGCTGGGCCCACGCGGAGAGGCACTATATATAGCATATAGGGCGGGATTTGGAGACGCATGGTATATAAAGCCGGTGGGAAAGCGAAATTTGCAATCCTTGGTCCGCACGAAGCAAGAGGGAGAGAGAGAAGGAGTGTCTGGTTTGAGAATTTAGATATTCGCAGTTTGGTGGGAAAAGTGGGCGGAGAGGAATATCTGGATTCCACCTCTTTCGACGGTGGTTATGCTGCTTGCCGTTCAGGTTCTCCTTGCACCTTGATTGCCTTTGTCGTCACTTTATCTTCCTTTTTTTTTTTTTTGGCTATTTCGTCACGGCGTTTCCGATTGGATCTAATTTAAGTTGTATGGTCTTTTTTTGGTTTCTGTGATCGATTATGTTTTAATCTGAATGATTGTTCCCCTGGAAAACCTGAAATCGTCGTTCGTCTGCTTATCGTTTATGAAGAACTTTGTTGAGTTCCACGGGTTGCAATTGAGAAGGGACTGTTGTTGGATTGTGCATGAAGGAATTTATTTGCCTGTCGTGGAGTTTCGTCGCGGTTGATTTTTCTTTTTTTCTTCTTTTCGTGATATTTAAGGGTCGAATTTGAGTCTTGTGCTTCTTAACGCATCTTTTCCTCACCGTTAGGGGTTTTCTCTCGGGGCATTGTTGGGCATTTATTTGCCATTATCTGTATTATTGCATTCATTCCTGAATTTTGCCCCTCTGATTGGCCGCGTGTTTGCTGGGCTGGATTGATCTAATCCAACACTTCTATGATCTCTCCTGGGTTGCCAATTTAGATTATTCAGCTTTTTAGCATGCGCTACAAGCGTTTGCTGCTGACAATTCAAAACATTGCATCTATATCCTCTGGATAAATACATTGTGCGCACACCCTTTCATTCTTCGTTGTCACTCTTAAATGTATGTCGCATTAATGCAAAGATCTTATCATAATGTAATGAGCCCAAACTATTATTATGAATAATATGTTGTTTCCTTCTATTTCTGATGTACTTTTGGTATGGGAGTCGTGAACAAATGTTCTGAAAGGCTAATGGATGTCTTCTATTCTGCTGGTATCGGAACCAGTGATTATTTGACTGTCTAAGTCTGTTTCAGATGGTATATCTTCTGAAGTTTTTATGCTGGGGATTTTCATTTTTGGATTTTGGTTTATGTGGTATACTGATGGCGTACATTTCTTGACTAGCTAAGCTTGAATCTTTGCACTAAATTTCTGAGTTCATAGTTGTCAACATTGAATAGCAGTTAAAATGTCACTACCTAGGGTTATTTTTGATATATTTTGCTTGAAGACAATATTCTACATGCATGAGATGTTTAAATTTTAAGTTTAGGTTCTTCACTAAACTTTTCACGTTTTCCTTTTATACAGGGTGCCCTTAATTTGAATTTTGACGATCTTGTTCTCTCATTCAAGATATGGAGGCAGCTTGTTTCTGGCCAAATTGCTACAAGTATCGATTGCTTTCTTTCCAAGAAGTGCAGGATTGGCATAGCTTTGTCCTTGTAGATTTTCTTCTTGTTTCCTTTGTTAATTGCACCTAGGGTTCTGTTCCTCTTGGATGATCACCAATGGGTATGTAATGCTAGTTCCTTCTGAGTCAGGTGCTCCATCTTTAGTGCACTTGTGCAAGTAAGCGCTTATTCTTCCTCTTTTGCTAAACCCAATATGAGAAATGTTTTTTAATAACTGTTCTCCTGACGCAGTGCATTGCTGACCCAAAATCCAGTTAAAACATCTTGTCAATCATCATCTGGGGTAAGAATGATTATGGGACACTTTTTATGTGAATGATAATAGTATATTTCGATGTACTAAATTTAATTAGACTTTTTTTTTCTTCCTTCTTTAGGGCTGAAGTTTACAGGTTGCTGACTGAATGTTGGATGCTTTCTCCATGTCAAGTATCGGATAGGCAATTACATTGAATTAGTGTGCCCTGTAATCATTAGTATTTAATTCATTTTCGCTCCTTATGGATATTGGTGAGAACTAAACATCAGCTACCTGAAGGCTCTGAAACAATTCCTATTAGTTTTGGTGAAGTAGCTATTACTGGAGTTTTGATGTCCTGGGTCAGTGACGCTATCTTGAGATCAATGCTGTTGCCTTGATAACTCATTTTGGTTGGACCTGGGAAGTGTTAATATGATCTACAGTATTTGTTCATCATTGCCACCCGCATCTTGCTACCCTTATGAAGCCATAGGTCTATTAATCAATAAGGCCGTGCAGCCCTCTCATCTGAAAGCTTGTGACTTTGAGCCTTCCCATGCTTTGACAGAATTGATGGTGGTTTTTGCTGGAACAGCACCTATCTGTTGATACTTTGTAGACTTTCTCGGCATTGTCTTCAAGAGATACATTCTATTATCTTGTGTGTTTTCTTACATCTTTTGAATAAAGAAAGTTGCTTTGCAGTTCTACGGAATAATGGAGAGGTAATTACCTGTTGTGGAAGTTGTTTGTTTTTCCTTGCTTCCTATTGACTTATTCCCATTTTCCCGCGGGGGGTTATCACAGGTACAGGTTAATCAAGGAGGTTGGTGATGGAACGTTTGGGAGTGTCTGGAGAGCTATTAATAAGCAAACTGGTGAAGTTGTAAGTGTTGTTAGCATGTCAAAAATTGCTACATGCAAAGTCAGACGTTGTGTGGTTCTTGACAACTTATTTGAAATTACAGGTTGCAATCAAGAAAATGAAGAAGAAATATTACTCTTGGGAGGAGTGTATAAATCTGAGAGAGGTCAAGGTGATTAGATGGTCATCTTGTATAATTTATAGTTGCTCTGTCTTGTTATATGCTTGTAATTTTTCCTCTGTTGGTTATATTTTTCCATATACTTAAACATTGTATCTTGTTGCAGTCGTTGAGGAAAATGAACCACCCTAATATTGTGAAACTGAAGGAAGTTATTCGAGAATGTGACATTCTATACTTTGTTTTCGAGTACATGGTAGGTGCCAATTTATTATGGTATAATGACGAGCTGGTGTAAATTCTAATGCTAAACTAAGGTGCCGCTTTGGGAATGCAGGAATACAACCTGTACCAGCTCATGAAAGACAGGTCAAAGCTGTTTTCTGAAGGCCAAGTTAGAAATTGGTGTTTTCAAATTTTTCAAAGTCTTGCTTACATGCACCAGCATGGATATTTTCACCGCGACCTGAAGCCAGGTAATTTTGTGGGTGCGGTCTTGGAAAAGTACATCTTGATATAGAATGAGAGTTTGCCATGTGGTCCGACATGGAAATCATACAATGTTGGTGGCATTTCTTTCTCTTTATATTAAATGACTATCTGTTGTTATGAGAAGTTGATGATGAATTGATCAGCCACTTTGTCATGCACACGCAGACTAGGTGGCTAGTCTGCTGCATTTACGTCTGTTCTGCTGCTAGAGTTTTGCCAGTTTTATACAATAGACACTCTTCTTTGCAGAAAACTTGCTGGTTACCAAGGATGCTATTAAAGTTGCTGATTTTGGTCTAGCACGAGAGATCAGTTCACAACCACCCTATACTGAATATGTCTCCACACGGTGGTAGGCATCTTTATTTAATATAATTTAGTTTTGTAGCAACCATCTGCTCATAAGGGTTTTGATGGCTTCTATGATGACCTCTAACTAGGTATCGAGCTCCTGAAGTGCTGCTTCAGTCTTATCTCTATGGTCCTGAAGTTGGTAAGTATCTGATGTGCAATAATTTTGTTCTTTTTGGCCTTGACTGATATCGCTTGCCATAGTGTCAAGGGACAGAATGAGTACTTTAAGGACGTTTTCTTTACTAATTTTGGTATTTTCCCCGTAGATATGTGGGCAATGGGTGCTATAATGGCTGAACTCTTCACTCTCCGCCCGCTTTTTCCTGGTGCCAGGTATTTAAACCCCCCCCCCCCCCCCCAAAAAAAAAGAGGGGAGGGGGGCTTGGATGTTTAAAATCCCCATTTTTGGGAAATAAGGTTTGGCTTTGCGTCTAATTTTCATATGATGCCGCCACATATTTTACGAGGGGATTTCTGGGAGTTGCAATCTGTATACTGAGTTTCTCATTTCTGTTGGAAATAAACATGTGTCTTCATGGCTGTGTATGCAGTGAAGCAGATGAGATCTACAAAATATGCAGTGTGATTGGCAGTCCCACCGTGGAGTCATGGGCTGGTGGTCTTAAACTTGCAAGGGATATCAACTATCAGTTTCCACAGGTTTGCTTCAATTTGGGTCTTGCAATCGTTGTTAGCAAACTTTTCGTGACTTCACTAATTCATGTGCCATTAATTACTTAATTATTTCTCTAATTATAGCGTTAGTATGCTAGTGTAGTGTATTCTTAAGCTAATAAGTATCTTTCCACTAATTATTATTAGCATCTGCCTTCTGCACGAACCATTACAGCTTGCTGGTGTTCATCTTTCTGTTCTAATCCCCTCTGCAAGTGCTGATGCTATCGACCTTATGACAGTGAGTAGCTTACCTCTATCCCAAAGACATCTCAATTATGTCCACCTCCCACATGATGGGATGCTATGTATTTTTCCTCTTCCTCTCATGCAATATTGCAATCTATATAGGCACTTTGCTCATGGGATCCCAGCAAGAGGCCGACAGCTGCTGAGGCCCTTCAGCACCCATTCTTCCAGGTGATTCTTTTAACTAATTACATCGTGGATGTCATTTATGTCTTTATCCTCGCCTTATGCTTTTTCTGCTTGTGCTGGCAAATTTTAAACACTTCTTTTTTCCTTTGTAGAGTTGCTTTTATATTCCTCCTTCCCTCCGCACCAAAGCAATAGCCAGAACTCCTCCATCCGGTTGGTATCATCGTAATAGTAATCTTATTCGTAGTTAAGCGTTTGTTGATGTTTAAATCATAGGAATACTAATTGCTTGGTTATTACAGCTGGGGTGCGGGCATCGGGGGATCGCCATGGGGCTAAGAGATATTCAGGTGCTTTGTCTAATTCGAAGCTAACCAATAATTATCCTCCCACTAAATTGCAACCTCCTTTTGCTCCAGGTGACGGCCTGATTTAAGTTTTATTCCCTATATCACATTTGCTAAGAATCATCATAGTTATGTATTGAACGTGTGAACGTTCTCATTCAATGTTGAATGTTCTTACAGGTGTACAACGCAAACTGGATTTGACAAATGAGGTGAGTTATGCTGTTAATATGAGCTTGGACTATTAATTCTTTGTTGTGCTTGCTTCCTTGTACTGGTCTATTGCTATCTGTCAAGCTATGTATTTGCTGTGGATGGCTTTTGTCACACACATTATCAATTTAGGCTAGGTTTTTTTTCCCCCTTTGCCAAAGCAATTCAGGCTAGGTTGCTATGTTATTATGGGGTGGTAGTGACTGGCATGCATCGCTGGAAATTAACCCCTGTTTGAATGGAGAGAAAATTAAGGAGTGGAGAAAATTAGGGAGGAAAACAAGAGGAGGAATGAGTTTTTCGTGAGAGGAAGGAAAAGCGGGAAAGAAAATAAGGTGGGCCCATGTCTAATCCTCTCTCCAAATTTTCTCTCCATATATGGAGATTTGGGGAGGAAAATGAGATTTCCGTGGCTGCCCTTTCTCTTGTGCTTTCTTGAGTTCTTCCTTTGCCTATTTATTTTCTTTTATTATATTTAAAAAATTGTTCACTTTTTCACCTTTTTGTAAATAATTTGGTTTTAAAATATAATAATCTAAAAATATATATTAACCAAATAACATGATTTTAAATTATTTAATGATGTTAGTGTTAGTATAATTTGATTTAATTTTAAATGATATGTTTTGATAAGGATATTTTAATCTTTTAAATATTTGTACATTTCCTTTTTTTCTTATGTTCTCTCCTCTATCCAAGCAAGAAGGATGATAACATTTTTTTTTTGGTTTTTACTTCTCTCTATTTTCTCTTCTCTCATTTTCTTGCCTCCCAACTTTTCTTCTCATCTAAACAGAGCATACATGTTGATCTGTTCCTGAATCCTGCTAAATCCGGAAATAAAACGATTTTACTGGTTCTTATATATTGTTCTTCTGTGTATTGCTGACGAAATTCTTCTTGATTGTACCGAAGGATGGAAATAAAACTGATAAAGCCTTGAAGACTGTCAAACAACCAAAGTATAGGCCTCCCGGAAAGAACAGCCCAAGTAAGCCAGCATGTTAATAATATGCCCCTAATTATTTTGTTACTTTTTATGGCGTGGGAGATGCATGTTAGCTGTTTAGTGATATGGAAGTTAACGATGGGATTGCAGCATCGATGAACAAGGGAAGAACAGTACGTGGGGTTGCAGAGACAGCTGAGAAGTTGGCTAATATGAGTGTTGGAATCCGAAAACAATCTATGGGAGAAGCTCGACCTCCTCCTCCAATGAAAGCTGGAGTCCAGTGGGGTTCTGAATCTAAGAACTTGCTGCCGAGGCCTGCTCAAGTGGTTTCTACTGGAAGAACTTTTCCTAGGAAAGTTGCCGGATGAGAAAATACCAGCAAAATAAAGTTAATCTTCCTTCCATTGTTAAATATGGTCCTCCAGTATATGTTTGCTCTTACCCTTGAACCTTTTGGTTATCCGCTGGTTTTGCGTTTGAGTGTTTGTATCTCTTATGGGGTGGGAACTGTGCTGATTCGCTAGTTTGCTTGTTATTTTATATATATTTGGCGAGTTTTAATGAATAAAAGGGCGCTACGCTCTTTGCTTGTGTTCAGTTTCGGTTAATGCTAAGCGTGCAATGGAAGTTGTATCAAAACATATGAAATTTTAGTTGCAGACTTGCTCTGTCAGCTACTCTTGAATTTTACTTCTTGAATAATATGGTAGCGTTCTGTATTCTTCGTCGTCTTTTCTGTTATGCTTCTAATCTTCCCTTTCTATTTCAGAAAATGTCTTCAAAAAAAAAAATAGTAGTACTATATTTTGTGTTAGATAGCAAATTTATAGAAATGGTGTGTTTTAGGTATGTAAAGGCAAAAATTGAGATCCGATGGACGAGAAGCGGATTCATACTAGCATCAAATTATAATTAGGAAGGTCAGTGCCTTATATGATGTCTATACCGCATAACAGTATCTTCCTTAGGAAGGAAAAGACGCGTTCCTTACGATCGCGGTGATGAGTTCGTTGAATTCCTCTCAGTGCTATATCCTTCCTTCCTTCCCTTTAACATGGTCTATAATCCATTGTTGTGATCACAGTACAAAATAATGACACTCTTTTGTCCTCTAAGAAAGTGAGGAATTTGAGAAAATAAGAAAGAAGACAAAAACATTTAGAAACCAAAGTGAGGGTAAGGGTGACTTTTATAAATCCAAGTATCAGGCGTTATACGGTTATGAAATGCTAATATATAGATAATTACATGTATGATTAGATTTCGCAAACCAATAAATGGCCTCCTGTAATAATGTGTAAACGCTGGACTAAACATTTTGAAGGTATTGATAAGAGAAAACATGGGGGCGAAAGAGCTGCCCTTAAGAAGGAATGAGGAGTTGCATTAACGATTAAGATAAGCACTTGGCTTAGCATACAAAATAGCATGTCATTTTATAGTGATGTTACCATGTGTAACTCAAAAGTAAATACAAGGGATGTTGCAGCTGCCACGATACATTCCGCTTGAGAGGAAAAAAAAATAAATTTAATAAATTGTAACAATCAATGATGAAAAAGTAACTATCGTGACAAAATGATCACAACAGGGGGAAAAAAGAAAATGAGAAAGGAGTATAATGAAATAAGAGAGCTGCCCATCCCACCATGGTGAGTAGTTGTCACCCATATTGAGTCACCACAAAAAATGATCTGAACTCTCATATGAGTGTGACAGTTTTAATAAATGATGCAGCATGCACCAAACAAAAGAGAACAAAACTGAGAAGGCCATTGGATGGTCCAGTGCTTGCGCATTAAGCTTTTTTGGTGATGAAAATAGTGGGGAGGCCAGTCCTGTATCCACTCCAGAGTCTGGAGTTATGTCATTAGGAAACAAAATTGGGAATAATTCCAACTTCTTCAATCAAAGGTACTGTTCTTGTATTCTCTCCCTGTTCTCCTCCCACCATGTCTTTGCATTTACTTCTCCAAATCTTTCCCGACTGCCCACAAGTGAACAGAGTCAATCATCTATAAATAAGCTAGCCTAATTATGTTTTTTGTATTCTCACTTTCTGTCTTTCATTTCTGTTCTTTTTATGTTGTCAATGTTTTTAACAAAAATTTCGGGACAATTTTTAACAGACTATACCATGTACAGAAAGGTATCATAAATTTTTGTGAGGAAAAAAAGTCATTTTTGAAAGTCTAAAAAGTACTGATACACGTTTCTGAAGATATATAAATGAAGTAATAAGAGAAAAATTCCGTGTAAAATCGAAGAACTAAAAATATATGTTGACCATTAAATACTCTCTTGGTTCAAATTACAAAATTTAATGACATGAATCTGGAAGAATGCACTCTAGAAGTTCATGATTTCGTCATGGTGAATAAATTCCTAGGACTATCATCTGTTAAGGTTAAAAAAAGGTCGGAACAACACATATGTAAGACAAGGATTGGTTTTCGTTACCTGAATCTGACACGTCGGAGCTCCCTGGTACCATCAGCTAATTGTCGGATTGTGATGTAGACCCCAGGCTCATCTTCCTCAATCCATTCTGCCTCCATGTCACCGGCATTACTGACAGAAGGTTCATTTACAGAATCAGTAGTTGGGCGGGGTGGTTCCATGGATGACCCTGCTTGGAACTGGTGGCCTACACCCTGATCAAAATGGTCAGAAGGGTAGTGTCCTCTAAATCCCGAGGGCCTATAGTGATGCCGTGGTGTCCACTCCTTGCTCTCTCGTGCAGATCCGAGTCTTGTATAAGAAGAATCTCTTGCCTGTTTCAAGAAGGATTCATATTGTTAGATTGATCTTTATCTTCACTAAATATGCAAAATGATGATGTAAGAAGGAGGAGATAATTTACCTCATCATCAGCCCTCGAGGGAGTTTGAAAAGCTTGTCGATTGAATCTTTGGACGTTATAGAGTTCCATGATCCGGTCGTAATTCTCACCCCACCATCTCTGAGCTTGCCATTTATTGAACATCTCTCGGCTTCAAATTCAAAGGCTAAGTATTGTCAGTCTGAGCGCCTACACCATAATTATGTCTTAACAACTAAAAATTTTGTTGGTTTTATGAGCTTTTTAGTGTTCCCAATTCCAAGTTCTTCGTAGTTGACCAGGGAGTTAGGATACTCTATGTCAGCATATTCTTTGAAGCCACAATTAAGGATGTAATCTAATTGCTGAAATTATCTACATCTGGATAACATCCATCAAAGGCTTCTTCAACAAAGGACATTATAGCCTTATGGGAAACTCTGAACTTACCAAAAGCGCTTAATTAATATATTTGAACATACCTGAAGCGAATTCTTTTGAGATCATTCCCTCCATTAGGAAGAGACACAAATGTGATGTGAACACCAGGTTCCACCTGAGCCATCCACTCCTTGGGTTCGTCCTCCTCCTCTAAAACTACATCACATGATTGAACTGATACTGTTGAGTCGCGTGCAGCCCCACCAAATCTTGGGTCAGGTCTACCACCTGGATAACGGGAGCTTGTAAAGTCCCACGCAGGGGTTGAACTTGAACTAGCCCCTCCTCCAATGTAAGGATATGGAACCCCTTCAGATATAGTATCGAAGTCTGGAAAAGGCCTCTGCCCTTTCTTGTAGCTAGGGGACCCGGTGCAGGGTTTGCATTGCTTAATGAAAATATCTTTTAACTGTACATACACAAAAAAATCCACATTAACATCAATGTATTCAAAGCATTGTCATAAGAATAGAGCAAAATATTTACTTCGTTAGCAGAGAAACTTATTTCGATTATATCTGAGGTTGTGCAATAGTATGTATGTATGTGTGTATAACGTGTATTCCGCCATAAATGGGATATTTTGTAGCGTCTTTGGTCCTGCTGATAATGGTTATTATCATTAGTAGTTAGTTCTCAGTCAATATGAGAACATTACCGACGCACTGCAGAGGTGTTTACAGAATGCTTAATTCTTATCAGCATGCAAAGATGTTACAAATACCAGTGCACAATATATAAACTTGCCAATGACAAGCTTTACAGATGAGGGGAACAGGCCACATTGAAATATATTAGGGTGTGATAAACCAAAAAATGTGCGCGTGTGCGTGTGTTAGTGTACGAGGGCAATGGGTATTTTGGTCCCCACCCCTCTTACACACCCTCCCCCCCCCCCAAAAAAAAAAAAAACGAAAAGGGAAAGGAGGGCAATGGCTGGGAATTTCATTTTGAACAGTAGCACGAGTAACACATGACGTGTTTGGACCACAAAAGCTATTATTAAAAAGAATCACATAGAAATATACCATATATTTAGAAAATTTGTGGTCAATGTATCATTCAAAGGAGGATGATCAGATAGTGACTTATCAAAATCATCGCAAGATGATGCCCAGGTGCCTCAACATTTGAAATACCAAAAATTGTCTCAGATCAAACGCCACACATAAATTTTACCTAAGGCTTAGAAAAGTACCTTCAAATATCCATTTTTTACAGTTCATTCAGCTTTAACTATTTAACTTGATAGTATCACTATTCTAGTGGGGACCAAACACCTTTTTCTTCCTACCACATTGATATTCCAAGGCTTTCCAAACACCTGAGTGAGTGCCCTCTCCTTACCTTTTGACAACAGTGTAGATTCGCCTATAAATATTCTTTTCTTTTCTTTTCTTGTTATCTCGAAAATGATTCTCTCAATCAATGATATGTGTAGATCCAAGGCAAAAATTATAGAGAGTCGAGAAACGATTTTCCTTTTAATTTTCCAGAAAAGGAAATACTAATCATGCAATCAAACTAATCAAATCTTATAAGCATAAAGATGATCAGAATGAGCCCAAAGGAATGAATAAAGAACTGAGGCAAGATATGGGACAGCGGAAAGGAGTGGGAAAACCGTCTTGGAAGTTCTGAAAGATAAAAGTATGAATTTGAATAAAAATAGATGGACATTGGAGTCTAAGGTTTCAGGCTAACTGGCTCACACCATTTTCAAAGCATCACGCGACCCCTTTACAGCTAGAGTATGTACTTGTCTAGACGCTAATGGATGACATCATCCCATAACGTGAAGTCCATTAAAGGAGCCTCCTTTGAGTCTTCGACACCATGTACTCTGGTAAGAAAGCATTTTCTAAATGTTGAGCCCCTTAGTTCACGATAATTTATAGCCAATTTTTAGTTGTAAGACTAAGCTAATCATAAAAAGCTTCCTGGCAAAGTCCCTACTCCGACCATTTCAAGATAACTAACTGACAGATTGAAGACACAGATGAGAGATAATTATACAGCAATTATCAAATACAGCGACGGTTTTCAGAAATATATTGCCATATAGTGATTGTTTAAAATAGAATTCCCGTTACGCCGAGATAATTTTTGAGCCTTATAACTACCCAAGGGTGGCTTTCGCTAATGAAATTTTCTTTATTTTCTATTAACATATATTCGTAAGCTTTGGAAAACAAAGGGTCGACAAGAATTCAAGGATGGGCCACACCAAGGATACGCATTTGGCAGATTCTTCTATGCATTTCATCTTTTCTCTAAAACTCAATTGCTGGATATGAAACATGTTCCCACTACTATTCTTCTCCTTTAACATAGGAAAATTTGACCAAAAATCGAAATTTCTTTTGAAATGCAGACAAAGAGCAGAGAGTTGATTGAAAAAAAAAAGAGGAAGAGAAAAAAGTTACGATCAGGGTAAATTTACTTCAACTTTATTAGCC